TCCCCTCTGCGTCGGGTTCGCGGGGGTCGGCGTCGTCCGGGGCAGGGCGGCGCGGCGGGCGGCGAGGGCCAGGCCGGGCGCGGACCCGGGCGGGGGCGGGCGCGGGCCCCAGGACCCCACCCTGTGCCGAGGGGCCGAGGCCGGGAGCGCGGGGCCTGCGGCAGCGGGCAGGTGAGCGCGGTGTGCGGGGACACTCCTGCAGGCGGGCACCTCCTGAAGGCCGGGCCGGCACCGGGTCGGGACAGGGCGCCAGGCTACCCCGGGTGTGGCTGGAGCCCTTCCCTCCCTGCTGGGCGCACGGGCCGTGGGCCGCTTGGAACCGCTAGCCCTCCGTGCCGGGTAGTTGCCGTGGGCGCCTCTTGGGTCCCCTCCCGGCTGCCCGCCCGGACAGAGCCAAGTTGTTCCCGCGTAGGTGTGGGCTGGCCCGGTTGCCACGTGCCTGTCCCATAGCCGCTGGTGACCCTGCCCCCGGGGTCCCTCTGCCCTGCCTTGGCCTTTCTTCCAAGAAGCCAGGTGGCCTCCCTGTCCACTCAGGTCTCCCTGGCGGGCTCAGGCCAGGTGACAGCCAGCACCGACGTTGGCACATTCCCCTCCCTGGACTGGCCATGGTGGGCACTGGGACCTGGAGGCCAGGGTCCTTGTTGTGAGAAGGAGTGCCGCCGCCAGCAGGCAGGGGACCCTTCCCCTGAGACACTGGCAGACTCCAGACCAGGGTGGCAGGCTGATGGCAAGGCGCTCCGTGGTCATGGATCATCCCGGGGCTCCTCGAGGCATGAAGACCTGGGGGCTCCGGGCGCCCATCTTCACCCCCACCCCACCCCCAAGTCCGAGGCTGAGACGCAGCCTGGGTGACTAGAGCGATGGCCACCTGTTCTCCAAGTGGGGCAGCTCCGACAGGTGGGCAGGGCCTCCCGATGCCCTTGCACCTTTGCAGAGCGAGGGTGGCAGCTGTGGGCATGCCGGAATTGGGTAGAGGCTGGGGCTAGGTGGGCGCTGCCCGCTGCCGAGGGCGTGTTTAAAAACGTTCTGTGTGGACGGGCTTATTTCTGGCTCCAATGAGCACCGTGTTCTTGTCACTGGGGCAGTGGGCTGCTAGGAGTGACCCGGGGAGGGTGTGGGGCTTCTTCACTAGGCCCATCCCCGCAGGGCCTTGGCCGGGGAGTCTGTCTACTTTCGCGCTCGCCCAGGCTTCTCATGACTTGACGGGGAACATGTTTGCTTAGTAGAGAACTTAGGAAGCCCAGGGAGAAGGTTTAGAGGAATTAAAGTCCTCCCCACGTTTTCTCCCGGGGGCCTTCTCCAGGCCAGGTGGCTGTTCTGCAGCGTGCTGGCTGTGCGGACGCCACGCAGGCTGGCCCGCTCACGGGTGACCTCAGAACCCCTGTTCGGGCTGCTCAGTGAGCTTGACCCGGTCCGGGTGTGGGCGCTGAGGCTGCCCCACCACACGGAACCCTGTCCTTCCTCTCATTTTACAGCTGGAGTTCTGGGCTCTCCAGATGTGGGTTCCCTCCGGGCCACTCCTGTACCCTCGGGGCGGCATGGGAGCTTGGGGATCCGCCTGATCCTCTGTGCGGCTCCCATCTGGCGAGACTCAGTGCCCACCCCTGAGCCCCAACCCCAAGGCCACACTCTGAATGGCGTGGGGGGCCCTTGGCCTGCCCGAGCTCCTCTGTGGGCTCCACGGTGGCTCAGTTCCCGAGAAGGGCTGTGCTGGGTGGATCTGTAACCTGTGGATTTGGGGTCCAACCAGCAGGGGGCAGCTGTGTCATGCTGGGTCACCTTTTCAGGGCAGCCCTCTTGTGCCCCCAGTGCCCACCCTGCTCCACATGGGGCTCCCGTCTTCAGTTTCTGAGACTTGACTGCATGGTGGGCCTCCCTACCACCCCCCACACGCGGCTAACCTGAGCTGCCCTTTCCAGGAGGGTTCATTCACGTTCCAGACGGGAAGTTCCAGATGGGACGGAGAGCCAGCGCCCCAGAGGGCCAGGGACCTGCTGCCTCCTCCCGCTCACTGAGGGGGTGGGGCCGGCGGGACACTGAGCCATGTGTCCAGGAGAGGCTGGGGCACACGAGGATGCCCAGAATGTGGGACGTTTCCCTCTGAGGATGGGGTACTCGCCCAGGATGGATTCTAAGGCACTTGTGCTCCAGAAAGGCTCCCCGGGGTTGTTTCCTCCTCTGCCCGGAAGCCCTTCAGCCTGGTACCATCAGGCCAGCTCAGGTGCTGGGAGGGCTTGGAAGACTCCCAGGCCAGGTTTTGACCCGCTCCTGTCCCCCTTAGACAAGGACCCCGTGAATGCCAGGGGACGTGGCGGGCCGTGCCAGGCTGTCTTTTCTGTCTGGGACATCTAGGGTGGTGCAGGTCGTCCCCAAATGGGCCTGCACCCTCTTCACGCGTGGAGGCCCAGCCAGGGCAGCAGTGGTGGGCCCAGGTGGGCTGGGGCCTTGGGGCAGGAATTGGGTGTAGCCCTCTTGCTGGGTACTCGCCGCACGCGACCTGGGATACCACGATCCTCAGTTTCCCCATGTGCCGATGTCTGTGGGGATCGGACAGGTGGCTGCAGGTGCTCCACAGCCCGGAGCCCAGCCGAGCCCAGCCCAGCCCGGCCAGGCCGAGTGCTGCTCTCAAACGCACACGCTGCTAATGAACAACTCGATTTCAGTGAAACGTCTGAGTTAAAATTTTCCGTTCCACATTTAGCGGTGGCAGACATTCTCTGTCCCAACAGCCCCCCCCCACCCCCCCGGCTGGGTGGTGTCTCCCTGCAGGCCCAGGCGGACTCAACCTGGGTGGGGCCCTCGGTGGTGGCGCGTGCCCTGGCCCACAGCCCTGACGTTCGGGAGGTGAGGGCTGGACCTGGGGGTCCAGGAGCCTCAGAGCTGCCCCCTTCTACCAGCCCTCAACTTGCAGTGTGGTCTGAGCCAGCCAGAAAGGGGTCATGGGACGGGGGCCAGCCCCTGCCCCACCAGCAAAGGCCAAGTGCCCCACCTATGGCCCAGAGGCCTGTAGCCTGCCTGTCTCTATTTAAAATTTTTTTTAAGGTTTTTGCCTTAGGGCATGTTCACTCATGGAGGGAAACAGAGAGACAGAGGAGCAGTGAGAAATCACCCCTCCTCCCCCCGGGGAGATGGCCACACCGCAGTCCCTTCTCCTCTATTCTCTTCTTGGGGCTTTGGGCACGCACGCACATATTCCCAGCATGATTGTCAAGCCACCAGGTCCGGGACTCGAACTGCGATCAGCTATGTGGGAGTCGAGTGCCTTAACTGCCACACCACCTGCCGGCCCCACATCTCGCGCTATCTGCTTTTTAAAATGTATTTCTTTACTTCTTCCATGGCCGTGAGAACGCGAGCGAGCCAGTGGGCTTCCATCAGGGTCTTGGTGCTGCAGTCCAGCCAGACCACGGGCACGCACGTGCCCAGCGCACTCAGGGAGGTTTTTAGACAGAACCGGAACCTTTCCGTGTGGGTCAGCTTTGCAGGGCACCACATCTTGCCGTGGCGCCACCCTCTCGCCCTCCTGTCTGTTGTTGACCCTCTTGCAATGCCAGGAGTCGCCGGACTTGGGGTGGGACCTGCCAGGGGCTTCCCAGAGTAGGCTGGGGTAGGGTGTGCACCGTCAGGCCTGCAGGGACAGGCTGTCGTCCCTGTAGACAGGAGCCTTCTGAAGCCCAGGACGAGCTAGCGTGTCCTTATGTGTCCCCGGGCGCCTTCCTGCATCTTTGCATGTCTTTCGTATGTCTTCAGGTTTCTGTCCATGTGCTTGCGTATCCTCACGTGTCCTCCTGTGTCCTCAGATGTCCTGTGTCCTCACACTTGCCGTGTCCACAGGGGAGCAGAGGGAAGCCCAGGGAAGTGTAGGGACTTGTCCAAGGACCCAGCGAGGAGCAGCTGAGCCAGGGTTGGGGGCGGCATCCGTGTGCACATCTGTGTGCCAGTGAGTGTGCGCATGTGTCCGCGTGGCTGTGTCTGTGCACACACAAGTGCACATGTCTGCACACACATGGGTTCATGTGTCTCGCACGTGCCTCACAGGTGGACATATTTGTGTGTATGCACCCTTGCCTTCTGCACGGGTGCGCTATCTGTGTGTGCATGCCTGCGTATTCATGCTTATGCATGCATGCGGCCACCTGTCTGTACATGCGTGCCTTAGAGTATATTCATGTGTGCACGTGGGTTCACACCTGTGTCCACACACGTGTCTGTGCATGTGTTCGTGCCCATCTCCTTTCCCACCTAGCCCACATTTCCTGAGTTCTGGCGTGGCCCACTGGCCGAGCTGGTGGGACCAGGTTTGGGGTCAGCACAGAGGGACGGACAGTGCCCGATCCTGGGCTTTGAGTCAAGCCCAGGGGGCTGGAGGTGGTGGGCGCGGGTCCGAGGCAGCCGAGGCACCACAGCAGCCCTCGCGGCGTGTGGGTAAGTCACTGGGCAGAGGCCACCCTCGCTGCTGGTGCTGCCCAGTCACAGTGCGGGTTCCCAAACACTGCGTGGCTGCTGCCCCCACCCCCCAGGCATCTCACTCGGGGCCACCGTCCAGCCCACGTGGTGGGAGAAACTGAGGCTCAGACATCGGTCTGCCCGGGCTGGCAGGGAGCCCACCCCTGAGCCTGGCCTGAATCAAAGCTAGGAGGCAGTTGGAAGCCCGGCTCAGAGCAGGCCGGCCCCTGGGATCCGAGCCTCAGCTCCCCTCTCCAAACCGGGAGGGCAGACACTGTCCCTTTGTCACGCTGGGAGGATTGAGCACACGGCGTATCTGTGACGACGGAGCCCGTGTGCTGGGCCTCCCCGTGGACCCTCCCACCCCGGCACCTGCCCGCCTTGTGCGTCTGTCTGCCCCCCTCCTCAGCGGCTATCTGGCCCCACGGCACCACTATGCCGTCATTGTCTGGAAGTTCTGAGCTTTTTAAACAAGGGCCTGCCTTCCCTCTTGCAAATTAAGCCAGTCCTTCCCAGAACTGTGGGGAGCTTGCTGGCACGAGGTCTGTGGAGCCCCACCTTTCCCCGGAGGGCCAGGCGGCCGCTCCTGCGGCATCTCATCTGCCCCCGAGGCCGTCCCACAACTGCGTAGACCTGTGCCCTGCCGTGCGGGGTCACCAGCGTAGGGGCCACCGTGCTCAATGGCATTGGATTAGAGGCCGTGAACGTGCATTCCTTCCCCCAGCTAATTACTCAATTTTATCTATCATTATTATTTAATTTGCTATAGGGCATGTGTGCTCACCAGAGAGAGGGGACAGTGAGAAAGCAAGCCACCGGGTCCGAGACTCAAACCACATTTGGCCACATGGAAGTCCAGCGCCTTAACCACCATGCCACCTGCTGGCCCTGGTGAACATGTTTTTTTTTTTTTTTT